TTTCGTCCCCTATTTTACCCTCTTATGATATGAATTTCGAAGAATGATACAACACGGATTTATTTAATTGTATTAAAGAGCATTATTAACAAGTTTCAAGTAATCCTGATCATAAATAATTTGTTGGGTTATATTATAACGTGATTTCCCGTGGGAATGAAATAGTCTTCCGCGGTGAAAAGTAGACTTATATGTCACTCTGGAGAGTGATTTTTTTGTGTGGAGATAGTTGGAGGGCTCCAGCCTTCCAATTATCCACACAAAAAATCACTCAAAAACTCACTCTATATTGACGTGAAAGAAAGACAAACAAACACGCACACTTTCACATTTATAATATTAGGGTGGATGTCAAATATTCGCCTAATTCTTATATTATTTTTGCTATGCAAAATGACAATTTATTACTTTTTCATAGTGCCATGCCATTTTTAGTGCACATTTAATCTACGCTAGTTCCTCGAATTTACAATCTGAACCCTTATTGATCGATCTCTGACGCTGGAGCGAGATGCAACATGTCCTTGCTATGGAAAAGACAAGAACAGATGACGCAGGATAACTCCCTAAGAGGGTATCTATGTCGACTCTTATATATCTAGGCAAGGATATAATATAAACCTTGATCTATACATAATTAGAAATATGATTTTTTGTTATATGATGTAGTTATACAGCCAAATAATATTATTTATAATATTATTTATATAGCCATTATAAATGTAGCAAAAGTGTTATTTAATATATTGATTTTAAATAATAGCAAACTAAACAAAAATTAATATTCTAAATTTTTCAACTTTTTCAAATAACTACACATAGAACAATAATATGGCTTGAATAATAATTATTTTTTTATGTTATAAATATAATAATAGCAACACTAAATAAGATTACTAAATAATAAAGTTTTTTTATAAAAAAAATGTAACAATTATAATAAAAACAGCTAAAATTAAATAAATGATATCTCAACATTCAATTATAAAACTTATTATCATTGGATATAGGTTTTTAGCTAATACAGTTTCTGCATAATGAGTATCTAATTAGTAGAAAATATAATCCTTGTCAAAACTACAATTTTGTCAGTGTGTTTACGTATGTTTTTACAATATCTGGTATTAGTGGGACAAATGCTAGGTTATTTATCATGAAAATAGAAAAAGATAACAAGGGTAACTATAGTGCAAGTCCATAAAAATGAAGTAATAAATAATTATTATAGGTATATATAGGTATACTAGCTAGGTACATTTGTACAATTACTATAGATTTCCCATGGGATTTATCCTGAGTATAGAATTCCCGTGGAACCGTACATTTTAGCGGGATAAAAAGTAACCTATGTGCTATTCCAGACTATAATCTATCTCTGTGTCAAATTTCATCGAGATCCGTTCACCCGTTCTGGCATGATTGAATAACAAACAAACATCCATCTATCCAAACTTTCGCGTTTATAACATTTAAATATTTATGGGATTTAATAATATATACAGTTTCTATGTAATAATAGCTCACTTACCAAAAAGGTTCAACATCAATATTACTTTAAAAGTATACCATCCACCCTTAGTAGAACTTTTACTTTTAAATTATTACATGGCCTTATATGTGGTGGTAACCCCTTTATTACAAAAATCACCATGAAAATCGGGACACAGCTGGCGAAGATGTAAAAACCATAAACCCTAATTTAGCACCTCCTCTTTTATTGAAGTCGGTCTAAAACAGTATTTGATAGGATTTCTTGTTTTTAATAATAAATACAAATATGGTTTCTTTTTTTATTATTACCAGATTTCTGTCTGAAACTACGAATAAATTATTTATTCGCAGGTCTTTTTTTTTTTAACGTTGGGAAATGCATTTACGCACGACGTGTCGTTGCGCAGGTCTAAAACGTGACGTCTGTGTATTTTTAATAATTAATAATTAAATTATCACCTACTGTCATGTAACCCATGATTTATATAAAGAATTAGAAATGTTTAGAATCAAAAAAAAACGAAAAAATCCAAAACCAAAATATAGTTTTATTTAAAACTCGCGACTCACTCTCGCTCCGCTCGAATTCGTCCTTAATTATGTTCTAACGTTTCAATACTAGTATCTATTATATTACCTATATGATTTATGGTATAGATTTCTCAGAGATGAGATATTTTCCTTCAGTAAAAACTTAAAAAGTATCCTATATGTTGACCCGGATAACCAGCTATCATCGTACCAAATTTTATTTCGTACCTTCGGGTACGGAACCCTGAAAGAGGTTAAAAAGGTCAAATTGACCGTTACTAATATGTATCCGTGTTTGTTAATACTTGAGAATAACAGCACCATAATATGACGGTGATCGATCACACCCATTAAATGCATTCAAACCGTCCCGGAAATAGGACAGTCAGTTGCAAGTCTGTGTTTGTTTACGATCTTTGCATCTATATTTATATCAACCATAGCGGTTATAATTATTATCTTCATAGATTTGACGCGGATATTCGACATCTATATCTATACAGATAAATAAAATTCAAGTGTCTGTTTGTAATGTAAACATAACAGGTTTTTACTAAATGCATATGGAATTATATACGGTATTTATAAGAAAAACATATTTTTTTAAATTTTTGTCTGTCTGTCTGTTTGTTCCTGCTAATCTCCGAAACGGCTGGCCTGATTTTGACTGGACTTTCACTGGCAGGTAGTTGATGTTATAAGGAGTAAATTAGGCTACTTTTATTTAAGAAAAAGGATAAGGGTTCCGCACAAAAAATTAAAACCCATGAAATTACGAACAAAATTCGCACGCACGCAACCGAGCGAAGTAAGGGTAAGTCGCTGGTTGTTCATAAGTTTATAGTTAGGATTTTTGATTTAGCGTATTAGGAATCTCATCACGTAGGGAATTTATTCAGAAAGTTTAACGGAGTTTAAAATTTCCAAACAAATTACAGTAAAAAATATTAAAGTCGTCTTAAAACAGAATGCACCCATTAAAAGGATCTAACTACCGCGTCAAAAGCCTTAAGTGCTGATATAAAGCTTTTTTTCTTCTAAATACGGCACGGTATAAAAGCTTTTTTATAAAACCGTTCTAATTTTTTTATAAGATAGTATCAGTTCATCTTTCACTTTAATTCAAAAATTGATAGATAGATAAATACTTTATTACGAACACAAAAAAAGATAACGGAACATGAAAAAGAAACTATATTGTAGTGAAATAATAACAAAAATATTTTTCTTGAATATAAATTACAAGACTGTTGGATGATGGATTATCAGTTTTTTACTTCTATAATGCACACGTAACTTCTATTATTGCTATTCACTTTAATTTGTATATTTAAAGACAAACAAGATAGTATTAAGATTAAATTAATTATTTAAGAAATTTGGACCATCCTCCTCGCATTTAGTGGTTCCGTGTTTACGTCCAGCTATGAGACCTCAAAAAAAGGCTGAGTGAGATGAGAATGAAAGATATAAGAAATTATTTTATAAACAACTAGAAAGCCCAACCTAGCCTAACTACATCTCCAACGACTTTAAGTAGTTTATAAACAAATATTCCATACTACGTAAATCAATATTAAAAAAACCTACGTCAGTCTTCCATCCATTAAAACAAAATAACAATGAACAAATTTGAAGATAAGATTGATGTTTAAAAGAAGAATCGATAAACAAAGACTTTATAAATAATAGCACTAGCATTGCCCGCGGCTCCGCTCGCGTTCAGATTACCAAAAACCAAATTGTTAGGTTTTACATATTAGTATACTCTTACATTGCAGTTTTTGTATTTTTTCTCAGAAATGAAGTATTTTCCCGTAAAAAGTATCCTATATGTTGTACTGGATAACCAACTACCATCATACCAAATTTCATTAAAATCTGCCCAGTAGTTTTCTCGTAATGCGGTAACAGACAGACAGACAGACAAAAATTCTAATAAGTATAGATTCGGTCTCTGTATCAATTATAATGACTATTTCAATAAGATTTTCCAAAAAATATTTAATGTACAGATTCGACTTAGAATTTTATTATATATATATAGATTAATATCATCGTTCAATTATTAATCGCATACTTATACCCCACCATCCATATTATGGACCTACTGGTTTACTAACTACTGCAGAATTTATTGAGATATATTGTTATTATACATACAAATTATTAGTTTTTCCTACAACTTCGTTATCTGTACAATAGAAGCCACCTGCAGCCTGCAACTGATGATCATATTATACTGTCTGACGGAAGACATTAAACTTTTATATGCACTAAGTAGCGCTTTATTTTACTGCTAAGTTTATTATGCTTTTAGTAAATAGTTATAATTAATATAATAGTAAAAGAATGCAAATAATCTGCTTGGGTTTAATTAGATATATTAGTTGTAGACGAATTGTTAACGAAAACAAATTTTAGTTCGTAACTTTCCTATGTACGAGTACCTATAGTTTGTTGAAAATTAGGTACCAATCGATGCTGTTGCCAGATTTATGCCCGCTTTCACCAAATTCACCTAAGTTTAAGGGATCCCCTAAGCATGTTTAGGGGGCTGTTAGGCGACAGTTTCTGTTTCACCGACACTTAGGGGTCACCTAAACATTAAAAAGCCCCCTAAATTTAGGTGCTCGAAATATGGGCTTAAAGACGATCGTAAAACGAAATTTAATTTAGGGGCTAGTTTAGGGGACTATTCAGCTAGGGATCCCATACGTAGGTGGTAGCTTGTGGGTTGTTGGTGAAATCGGGCATTATACAATAATTTCTGAAAATCTAAAAATAACATTCAATAATTACCTATCATTGGTAAGTGTGTTGAAATTAATATTTATATAATTGATACGCGTATTAGAAGATAACTGAAAGGAAATCGACACACTAACACAAACAGAAGTACCTACCTGGTAATTTTTGAAAGAAGTATGTAATAGAGGAAAAATAGAAAAGATTTGGCTAATTTTATAACGTTTTTAGGAACACAGACTTACCGCTTGTGACTTGAAGGGTAGTGGCGAGGAGACATAGCAGCGACAGTGACAGATATCCGAGCGAGTTGAGCCAATGTGCCGCGGCCATACTGTGTCCTGGCGGAAATGAAATAAATTAATTAATATAATCTAGACATATAATAAAATTGTAACTAAACCGAATTTGTACATTAAATATTTTTTGGAAAATCTTATTGAAATAGACATTATTATCGATAAAGCGGCCGAATGTATAGTTTGCAGAATTTTTGTCTGTCTGTCTGTCTATCTGTTACCGCATTACAAAATAACCACTGGAGCGATTTGGATGAAATTTGGTATGGCGATAGTTGGTTATCCGGATCAACATATAGGATACCTTTTACTGCGAGAAAATATCTCATATCTGAAAAAAAAATAGTATACTAATATAACCCAAGAATTTTTCTCATTATTGAGAAAAAATACAAAAACTCCAATGTAAGATCATACTTATATGTAAAAACTAAGAATTTGATTTTTGGTCATCTGAACGCGGGCGGAGCCGCGGGCAATACTAGTATCTTCATAAAAACGTTGATTTCTTTCTTTTTTTTCAGACTAGCTATAACGAGCGGCTTTAGACGGACGGCAATACAGATGTGAAGTACCTATATATTTCTTTTTTTTTTGTTTCCTTAACATTTGCCATACATTGCCTATTACATATACGATATCGTATGTTTTGCACAATATTTTGACCTCCATCCTGGAGAATTCTTTTTCGGTTATCTTTTCTCCTTTTCTCCTCTTCCATCATGAAAATTTGTTTCTGCCGCACGGATCATTAGTGATTCTTAGCCTATAGTTTGAATTGTCGAGATTCATATTTTCAGATCTGTATCAGGAGAACACTTATCTACCGGGTCCGCTAGATAAATTATAAAATAAATAAAACATCATAATAACCATTCTTTATTATTATTATAAGTCTTTTTTCAAAATGTACTTTTTACTTCCAACCTGCCTGTCAGTAACTGTAAGCCCTTTAGTATTTTGTAACTACATGATTATATTTTTTTATTCTGGATAATCTTAAATGTATGTATGTATCCAGCCCTTTTTTTAACGTCTCACTGCTGGGCACGGCCTCTCTTCAATATGAGGGGGATCAGGCCATAGTCCACGACGCTGGCCAGGTGCGAGTTGGTGCATTTCACATGTCTTTCGAACACTTGCTAGGTTCTCTCAGATATGCAGGTTTCCTCACGATGTTTCCCTGCACCGTAATCTTAAATATACAAGTTTAATAGTAATTGTCTTTTTATCATAATCTACATATTAAAAATATTAAACAGCTAATATGGATGTGTAGTGATTAATACTCACTAGTGTCACAGAACACTTTTACTCATTGCCAGAGAGCCCTAGTATATACCAATGTACTCTGTGCAGAGAGCTTAGAGTACAGAATTGGTTATTACATTAAAGCTATATGAAGTAAAATATTCTTTAGTTGAGGCGCCATCTATGGAAACATGTACGAAATACAAAGTCTAAAAATTTTCTTCGTCTAACTTCTAAAAAGTTCCATTGTTATGTCATAGATGGCGCTTTTCTGACAATAATATAATCAGGAGTAAGAGGTATACAATATTTTTAATTCATGCATTGTGTTTTTTTCTTGCAATACTATAGATCTTAAACGTGACTTTTACTTGTACATAAGTCTAATTTATAAATGAACATGGCGAAGATGAAACCAATCAGGGTTCATGAATAAAAACGCTTAAAAATATAAGGATTTTTATTCATGAAGCATATTTTAAAGCATTTTTTATCTAAAAAAACTACTAATTATCTACGTTTTTTTAATCTAAGTTTCACTTTTATTTCGTCGGCTTATTATTTATATAATTTAGTTTTACCTACGTAATATGTTTAAATTTTTCATAAGCTTCTACTTCTACTTCTATCTTCCTCAAAAATAAATATAGGTATAGCAATATTGAGAATTTTTACCAATAATAATAAATTTTAATGGCTAATTTTAATACTTAGCGTGTTCACAATCGATTTACTATCTCCGTTCAAAAAGTAAGTTGCTTCGTGGCCGTATGAAACGAGAAAAACATAAACAAACACAATTTCACATTTATATGTTAAGGTTACCATACTTTAATTAGTATTTTTAATATAACTTTATTAAGAAAAGTGGGTCAAAAGAAATATCACCTAGGAATAAAAAGGACGATATTTTATTAACATTTTTAACGCCTGAATTTATTTGCTTGTTAATAATGTTAATATGTAATTATTTCGCCAACCAAATTTTATTAGTGAAATCACAGAAGTTATCGATGGTGGAGATCAAATAGACGCTATTTACACTGATTTCTCAAAGGCATTTGACAAAGTTAACCATAACATATTAATTGAACGATTAAAGTCTTTTAATGTAACCGATGCTTTAATACGCTGGTGTGAGTCGTATCTACGCTTAAGATCGTCTACTGTTGTAATCGATGGATTTCAGTCGGTTTCATTTACGGCTAACTCAGGTGTACCACAGGGATCAATTTTGGGACCTATATTGTTTAATATCTTTATAGATAATATAACAAACATTTTCAAGTACTCAAAAATATATATGTATGCCGATGACCTAAAGATGATTCGAAAAATCCAAACTTATGATGACGCGATATATTTACAAAATGACTTAGATGAACTATATAAATGGTGTAAGGCTAATAAAATGAATCTAAATGCAAAATAATGTCATTACATCCAGTTTACACGTAAAAAGAAAAAGATAAATTATGAATATAAAATATCGAATGTGACTATAGCCCAAGTGGATGTTGTCTGCGACTTAGGGGTGTTCTTGGATTCTAAATTGCAATTTACTTCACATATAGATTTAAGATTATGTCTCGAAAGTAGCTTATAAGTCATTAGGGTTTGTTCTCAGACATGCAAAGGAATTCCATAAAATTACAACTGTATTATTGCTTTTTAATTGTTTTGTCCGAAGCAGATTGGAATATTGTTCTGTTGTTTGGTCGCCTCAATACAATGTCCATGTTGATAGAATTGAACGTATTCAAAAAAAGTTTTTGAAGTTCTTAACATATTGGTTCAGGTTTCCTAATTGCTGCACAGGATATGAAAGCAAACTAAAGCATATTCGTCAGCTATCTCTAAACGCAAGAAGAAAGCTTTTAGATCTAATGTTTCTATCCAAGCTGCTAAATAACAGAATCGATTGCCCGACTCTACTGTCGAAAGTAAATTTTAATTTACCAGTGAGAATTTCTAGAAAGCAAATTGCCCTCTTTCGAATTAATAAACATAAAACGAACCTAGGAAAAAATGCGCCACTTAACCGAATAGCTAGAACCTATAATGGCATTACTTCGGAAAATAGGGGGGGTAGACATTTTGCATGACACATTTACCGCCTTTAAAAAAAAAAATTAATTGCTATCTTGATCAAATTCAATATTAATCTTTCTTTCTTTTAAAAAAAAATGTTATTAATTTGATTGCATGCTGTTTCTCAATTTTTAATTTTTATGCTATAAATATAAATATAATAGGTACATATTAATTGTTTAAATTAGTTATTATTGATTTTTTTGTTTTAAAATTCTATATTTTTTAATTTGTAATTTTAATGAATTATTATTTTTTTACATTAAATTGGAATTATTATTATACTATTAATTAATACTAATGTGATAGCCTGTTAAAGTTAGCAAGTTGTAACTACCTATAATTAAAAGTGCAATTATCATGATAAATTATATGTAACCTAAGTTTAAGTATTATAATATTGTAACTTTTGTTGGTAGTTCAATAAATAAATAAATAAATAAATAAATAAATAAATAAATAAACCCGCACTTGGCCAGCATGGCAGACTATGGCCTGATCCCCCTCGTACTGAAGGGAGGCCCGTGCCCAGCAGTGGGATGTTAAAAAGCGCTGAATACATACATACTCATAGATAGATACAATGGTTATATGAAAAAAATGAGATCAACAGAGCATAATTTACAGGTAAATAGAGAAAAAATGAATGAAAAATCCAGCATAGTTTGAGGTAAATCTGTTAAGTGTCCTTAGAGTGTGGCGGAATGACCTCTTGAACCCTCAGCATGTACGCTTAAAAGCTCAGTGATCTTTTTATATGTAAATAATAGTTTTTGCCTGTCTGTCTGTTGATTTCACACAGTTCATCATTAAATATTAATTTTCATATATTTTGTTTAGATACCATGAACGTTTAGAAACTTTAATTGGATTTGCTTTATCCACATGTCTGTTTCCACAACGGTAATTTATTTTTTAAACATTTGTTGGCCTCTAATTGAGGTTTGTTTACATTTAAATTAAAATAACCTTCAATTTTTATTTAGAACTAGCGACTCACCCTTACTTCGCTCGGGTTCGTCTCTAAGTTGCTTTCTCATACAAACTTTCATCTCCATTTTCTCCCCCTTACGGAATGATTTCCGGGATAAAAATCCCATGTCCTTCTCAGAGTCTAAAACTATCTTATTACCAAATTTCACCTGAATCGGCTCAGTAGTTTCGGAGCCTGTTCGGTACAAACAAATAAATAAATCTTTCCTCTTTATAACATAAGTGTAGATAAGCATAGCTTATAATTTGAATTTGTACACAGGCTATATTTAGGTTAAACGTAATTTACGTATGATTTAGATTGATTATAGTTTTATATCGGTACATATTTTAAAATTGTTGTGGGCTAAAAAGTAAAAACAGTCATTGCTAACTTTAGAAAGCTCCTTCATCCTTTAACAGAGGAATTTAAAATAGAATAGTTTTTTCTATATAAACTCACCATATCGTCAGCATGTGTGATTGCGCCGCGACCGTGTGCTGCCCACGAATCACCTAAAACAAAATTTACTATGTAAATATATCTTTATAATTTGATAAATAAATTGTACGGCAGTTCCTGCAATTTCATGACTGTCACATTTATTTTTAGTTTTTTACTTCGCTTTGGCGCATGTCTTGTAATTTTTCATAATATACTGATATCTCAGAAGAGCTACTTTATGTAGTAAAATAAAAAGAATATGTATATAACTGCCGTTCTTAAAAATTTGCAATTACACTGTTAATGATTGACTAAAATACGAAAATTAAGTTATTGAAAAAAAATATACAGCCGAATTGAGAATCTCCTCCTTTTTGAGGAAGTCGGTTGAAAATTGAGTTATAGATTCTAGTAGATGTTGACTGATGCTAAATATATGTATCACTCGATTTCGCAAAAAATGTCGATTTATGAGTAAGAATTTCAGGCGTATAAATAAATAATACAAAAAATCTAAATCAGTCGATTCAAGTCAATTATTTTATTTTGTGAATACGTTAAAGGACCAACGATCCGCCCGCGTTCAGATGACCAAAAACAAAATTCTTAGGCTTTACATATTAGTATACTCTTACATTGCAGTTTTTGTATTTTTTCTTAGAAATGAAATATTTTCCCGGGGTAAAAAGGATCCTATAAGTTGACCTGGATAACCAGCTATCAACATACCAAAATTCATGTAAATCCCACCTGTGGTTTTTCTGTGACGCGGTAACAAACAGACAGACAGACAAAAAATTTAACAACCATTGATTCGGCCTCTGTATCAATAATAATGTTTATTTCAATACGATTTTCCAAAAAATATCTAATGTACAGGTTCGGCTTAGTTACAATTTTATTATATATATAGATGTCAACACAATAAAATAAGTAAGTTTCTTATAATGATAACGTAAACGTATAGTAAGTATTCGTCTACGTACTACGTACAGCAGATCAAACGTCTACGAAATTAGTTCATTGCACCACATACGATTGACGTCGTAGCTTTGTGCTACGATGCTACGAAATTGTGCGATTTTGTCCCTTTACATATTATGTACTAGCTTTTGCTCTCGACTCTGCTAGTATTATGGACTTATATTTTTAAAGATCATAATATGATCTTAGGCAGGTCATAACCTTCTTGAAAAGGCTATAAAATGAAATATTTCATCTGTATCTATACTAATATTATAAATGTGAAAGTTTGTAAGTATGGATGTTTGTTACTCTTTCACGCCAGAACGGCTGAACTGATCTGGATGAAATTTGGCACAGATGTTGATTATAGTCTGGAATAACACGTAGGCTACTTTTTATCCCGGAAAAATGTACGGTTCCCGTGGGGCTTTGTTTTCCTAGAGGCGAACCAGGTATTTCAAATTTTCAGGTAATCTTCAGATTAGCCCAGCGGGCGATCCTGTGAATTTTGTTAGCGATCAGCAGTGTGGACGCGGGCGAAGCCGCGGGTACTGCCAGTTATATTGATAAGTTTTGAGATTAATATACCTACTTCTTATTTTAGTTGTTTTTTTTTATTTCATGGTATAAATAATGAACTAAAATAAAATCCAAAAAAATATTTATGATCAGAATTACTTAAAACTTGGTATTAATGCTCTTCAATAAAGGTAAATAAATGTGTGTTTCAGCATTTTACAAATTCCTTTAAGGGGGTAAATATATATAAGAGAGTATAGGGAATTAAAGTTTCTATGAAACTACCTTTTTAGAGACTTTTTTGTAGTTTTAGCGCGAGCGAAGCCGTGGGTTCTGCTAGTATTATATATTTTAAAACCTTAAATTTTTCATATTATAATGTTTTTTCCTTCTTAATCTAACATATTAATAATAAATATACTAATAAATAATATTAAAAAGGCTTAGTTCCTCGCCATTCTTATTAGCAGAGTGGATTTAAAGTCGCCGGTAATATCCATTAAATTAAAAGGTTTAATAGAGGCAGGAAACAAATCAGAAGGTTTTTCAATAAGGTTATTATAATAAAAACTATAGACAAAAACACTATATACTATATAATATGTGTATAATATGTAAGTATAGGTAAATAAATATCTTTGTATATGCTTACTAAATATAATATTTTGCCCTATAATAAGAAGTACATATCTAAATACAGACATTTTACATGTATATATTTGCATGAAATAGAAGCAAGAAAAGAAAAAAATGTGTTTCGTGCTTCGTTAAGTCAGCTGGCAATGGTATTAACCAGTTCATTGCACTGCGACACAATTGGTGAGCTTTGAGCTTTTTACATTTTCATATTTACAGTACAGATAAACTCTTATATAACTGCTTATATTCTATATCTGCCTCGGTGGTGTAGTGGCTATCATGTACGGCTGCACACCCGGAGGTCCTGGGTTCGAGTCCCGGGTCGGGCCAAGTTTAGTTATTGAGTCTTCCTGTATAGTAAGTCTCAATAACAGCCCGGAGTTGGGAAGTTGGCGGTGTTTCACCCCCGTGCCTCGGAGAGCACGTAAAGCCGTCGGTCCTGCGCCTTAACTCTCACCGGTCGTGTCAAGTGGTCGTCCCACCGGAGTATGAGAGTGATAGGAATAGAGAGTGCACGTTGTGTCTGCGCGTACACTTGTGCACTATAATATCTCCTGCGCAGTTGGCTAATCTCATTGAAATTGGCCGCCGTGGCCGGAATCGGCTAGGAGAACATCATCATCATACTTATAAATAAAATTGACGTCATAAAACGACGGTTGACGATTTAAAAATAACTATCCCATATGGGGTCTGAATGGTTTCGCAATACTTGTGGTTTTGGGTCAATTCAAAAATTCGATCATTTAAAAAGAGTTTGCCTATTTTATTTATTACCCGTTAATCTTCTCAAATTTTCAATATCTATGATAAAAAAAAGCATTCGCAATAATAACAAAATATAAAGCTTTCTTTCCGTACATTTGACATTTTAAATTAATGTACATATTTCTTAAAATATTAGCTTTATGTAATAAAGTATCTTTCCTGATGAATAAGCAGACAAATATAATAAAGTATAAACATTTCTATGCCTTCTTAGAGTAAAGAAGTTTGCCTAACTTTATATAAACTAACTAGCATTGCCCGCGGCTCCGCCCGCGTTCAGATGATCAAAAACCAAATTCTTAGGTTTTACATATTATTTAGTATACTTTTACTTTGCATTTTTTCTCAAAAATGAGATATTTTTCCGCGGTAAAAAGTATGCTATATGTTGACCCGGATAACCAGCTATCACCATACCAAATTTCATCAAACTCCCTTCAGTGGTTTTTCTGTGATGCTGTAACAGACAGAACAAAATTCTAAAAACTATAGATTCGGCCTCTGTATCGATAATAATGTCTATTTCAATAAGATTTTCCAAAAAATATTTAATATGCAGATTCGACTTAGTTAGAATTTTATTATAATATAAATTTTGTTATTACTTGTTCCATCTACAAACTTTAGTTCATCCCATCTCGTACAGATAGACTTACAAGAAAAATTGCATGCCTTAAATGTTCAGGTGTAATTTAAAAAAATTATATCTGTAATTAAATTAGTTCCGATACAGATATTGTTATTAAGTAAATTTAAAAAAAAATAGTATTTTTAGTTAGTTTTATCTAAATAATAGTATTGTATTGTATAAGCCCTTTTTAACGTCCAACTACTGAGCAGGGGCCTTCTTTCAATACAAGGGGGATCAGGCCATAGTCCACCACGCTGGCCAAGTGCGGGTTGGCGGACTACACATATCTTTCGAGATTCTCTAAGACATACAGGTTTCTTCACGATGATTTCTTTCACCGTAAGACAAGTGCTAATCATGTTGGAAATGATTCGCACATGAAAATATCAGAGGTGCGAGACCCGGGATATGAACCCGCTTCACTTGGTTTCCCAAGTGAGCGCGTTACCAGCCTACCACTGAACTACATAACAGTACTCACCTATAAACATTAAAATCTTGAAAATTTTCTTCATTAACAATTGCATAGCAATAAAGAGAGAGAATTTCGATTTGCATAATCTTTAACAATACTCTTAATCTACACTTTCAGACCAAAATGCAAGATAATTAAGCAAACAATAGGTCCCATCGTTGCTATGGGGTATAATAAATACCCCTTCGACTGTAGCGTGTTTAAACAGACTTTTATTTTTCTATCTACCTATAATAGTAGCATTCTGTCCTTTTTAAAATGAGACTGAATAAAAATCTTTAGTAATATTATAAGAAAACACGTTATAATACAATCTGAAAAAATCAGAATTACTTGAAACTTGGTATATAATGCTCTTCAATAAAATTAAATAAATAAGAATTTTCTCGAAATTCATCTTAAAAGGCGGTAAAATAGAGGATGAAAGTTTGTATGAAACTATATTTTCAGAGATTTTTTTGTAGTTTTGGCGAGAGCAAAACGGCGGGTTCTGCTAGTATAATTTAAGATTGTATACAATATTCACTATACACATAAACGAAGCAAAAGTGGAAGTCTACAACGAGTAGGTATATGTAATATAAAATCCGCGTGCTCCATCACTAAGAGTTACATTAATCAGACGCGCAGTCACTATCCAGGCAATTCCGCAATACATATCATGCTTAGCTAGTTTTTGCCAACGACTGCACTCGCGTGCTAGATACACAAATCGATACAAAACTCTTTGTATTCATTCAAAATACTCGTATGTATACGTTATAGTTAAAATATAGTTGCAAGTTTTACAGAAATCTTTTTAATGAAAACATACGATGACGACCATAACGACACGTTTGGCTCAGTTTGTAGCGACCCTACTTGCTGTGCCAGCGGTCGCGGGTTCGAGTCCCGCTGGGGGCATTCATTTGTGTGATGAGCATGAATGTGTGTACTCTAGTCATGGGTGTTTATATTTATCATATGTATATATTTAAAGTTATATATGTGTAGTGTATCAAATATCTGGTATCCATAACACAAGCCTCGTAGCTTACCATGGAACTAGATGGTGCTGTGTGTTAATGCCCCAA